CCCGCCCCCTCCCACCAGGGCGGGGGCTCTAGCCGGTCACCACTGGTCCAGTTCGGTGGCCTGAAGTGTGTCCCATCCTGGAAACCAAGCAGTTACCTGCCTAGGAAATCCTAGCAGCTTTACAGTCCTTGGCTGTCTGGATAAGCATCCTTCTACCTCCCAGTCTAAGTCTGGCACCAAACCACCCTCCTCTGATACTTAAATTGGATCTTTGCTCTCCCAAAGGCCACCTCCAGAAGCATTGGTTCCAGTTCCTGCCCAAGGTCAGCCAAACTCTTTGGGCATACAACCACAGCCTCCCTCATCTGTCCGTGGTTCTCCCCAAACCTCTGCCATTCCCATCTCTCTTCTTCAGCAGCAACCAGGACTGGAAAGGGTGGGTACCAGAAGACTGTTTTCCCTAGTAGCTTTGCAGCCTTCTGCTGGGAGCTTCCCCCAGAATCAGGAACAGAGCCTCATATAGTTTGGTTTGGGGATTCAAAATTTGGCCCCTCTTTTGTCCTTGCCAGATACTCAACTTTTTTTTAAATGAATAACTTGTCAATTGGAGCACAGTATGTACTTCATTCAAGTCTCTAACAGGTTAATAATGATCACTTCCTTTTATGTCTCATCTAGCCATCTCCCTCTCTGGACATCCCTGGGCTCTGCTTCCAGACACTTAGGTTTAGCTCAGAGACTTTGAGCCTGCTACACTTTACTCACCAATCTACTATCTTTTAGGAATCACTTTCTCTAAGAAGCCTTCTCTGATGTCCTGACACTGCCCACCTGTTTCCTTGAGAACCAGTAATTAACTGCCATCCATTGTGGTTCGGTGTTAGAATTACCTGTCACTCTTACTAGACAAAGCAGTTAAGCACGAAACTTATCATGTAACCCCATGGCTAAGTGCCTGGCCTACAGTAGAGAACTCAGCAAATATTCACGGCACCTGCACTTTTCTTTTTTGTATAACATTTACCCCTCAGCTCCATAGGTAGCACTCTAGCATCTTTGTGTACATTCAGAAAAAAAGCACCCCTTTCTCAACACACCTGCCATTTGCAAGAGAATAGTTATAGTAACCATACATAAGACTGAGGTGAATGGTGACCCTAAAAGTTATACAATGCACAATCTGCATAATCCTGAGCAGAAACTTTGTCCCTAACCCCACATAGCAGGGGGCCTGCAGAGTATTTAAGGCACTGTTAGCCTCTGGGAAGATGAAGTTAGGTTCTTTGAGGTAGATCACAAACCCTTGTTAGTCAGCTACTTCTTTTACTCCACATCCAATAGTCAAATCAGGAAGACAGGGCTGAGGGGGGGTGTGCACAGGGGGAGGTGATCCTATTCCTAGGTCCATGCCTACCTACCCCCATAACCAAGGCACAGAAACAAAGCCACGGGTGTAAGGAAGAGTTAGGGGACCAGCCAGCTTTAGGCAAGGCTCAGGGAGAGGAGAGTCCAACTGCCTAATTGTGTGGCCTAACACCGGACCCAAGTCCCCAAATGACACTAAGAATGCAAATGGAGAGGAAGGGAAAGGATGGTGGACAGTACCCTTCTATTTCCCTCAGTTCATGGGGGATAAGACTCAGGTCATGGGGGAGCAAGGCTATTCAAACAGACACAGAGACAAACTCTTTAAAAAACCAAAGCAAACCTTGAGATCAACTTTATTGCTGATGGTTGTGGCCTCTTCTTTCCCATGCCCTCACCTCTCTGGTGGTCTAAAGCCCCTCCAGGATAGCACAGTGCTTAGGTTCTTCTGGGCCAGAGGCAAAGGGAGACAATCTGCCTCCCAAGTCTGCCTCTGCTCAGTCCCTCCCCTGTCCCCACCCTACCCTATTGCACATCAAATCATGTAAACATGGCTACGGGCATGGCCCGGAATAGCAGTGAGGCAGATTGACGTGTAAACGGATTTGGGACCAGAAGCCAGACCCAGTCACCCAGCCCCACCCCATGCTAAGACCCACAGTGAAATCTGGAAAAGCAGGGGGCCTGGTCCCAAACTCTGGCTCAGATTATGCAACAGTGCAGATGGCTCAGCTCCCCTCTGCCACCCACCCCTCTCAGATTCCAGGTCCTAAGGTCCACCCACTCCTGGTGTTGCTCCAGGCCTGGGTAGCAGATGGCAGTATCCAGTTTTTCCCTTCCCACCCCCAACTGTAGGTCACTGGTGCTGGGTCTTCCTAGATGCCCTGGGGAAACCAGAGACGGGCAATGGCAGTCTGTCCAGCCCTGGAAAGAAGGGAAGGTGGGAAGTCAAAAGTAGGACATATGTCCAGACCTCTGTGATAAGAAAACCAAACCACAAAATAGACGGATGAAGGTTACAAATAAAGCAGAAAGGCTGCCATTTTCCCTGCTGGGATGACCACTGTTCCAGAGGGCTCCACCCCATCAGCCTGCACCCCCGCCACTCCCTCTCACCGAACGCCCGGATCAGCTCTGCCCTCACAGCTCCGGTGAAGGTCTTCACCAGACAGAGAGTGGTGAGGCCCGCAAAGGTTGCATTGTACAGGAACACAATGTAGAAATTGCCCAGCCAGTTGAAGCGTCCAAAATCACCCAGTAGGTCAAAGCGAGTGAGTCCTGAAGTACAAAAACCAGGATGGGAGGTGGGCACCCCAGCCCCTCCCTGGTTCAGAGTCCAGCTTTCTGCTGCCTCCTGGTGGTGACATCTCAACATTGCAACTGATAGGTTGGTCTCTCCTATCATTAAATTATTCCTACCTCCCAAGCTGTCTCAGGGTCAGTTCAGGGCTGTGAATAAGCGTTTGCAGCCCAGCCAGGGTGGCTCAGTGTTTAAGCACTGACCCATGCAGCAGGAGGTTACAGTTTGATTCCTGGTTAGGGCGTAGGCCAGGGTTGCAGGCTAGATCCCCAGTAGGGGGCGTGCAGGAGGCAGCTGATGGATGTTTTTATCTCACTATCCCTTCTCCCTTCCTCTCTCTGAAATCAGTAACAACGTGTTTGTTTGTTTTTTAAAAAAGTGTCAGCAGATAGGCTTGCTCCAAATTCCCATGTTTTCCAATGGGGTCCCCTCTGTTTCCAGGTGTTCCTGGAGCTCCCTGGGCCTGCCAGTTGTTCCTGGGTCAGGAACCTATAAACTAGTCATCAAGTATTTTTTAAGTAGGTAGAGCTGTGTGGAGGCTAAGAGCTCTTACTCTGATCGGACTGCTTTGATTCATATCCAAACTCCACTTCAACTAATTGTGTGATCTGGGGCAAATTCCTTAAACACCTGTGCCTCAGTTTTCTCAACTATAAAGTAGAGGAAATAATGGGACTGTAAGAATTAAATGAGACAACACAATAAAGTACTGTATATGCCAGGTATATTTTAACACCAAGCCCTTAATAATAATTTAATATCATCACAAATAAGATTTCTGGGGCCCTCCTCCACTTAAAAAAAATTCCTACCTAAAGGAATCCAACCTAAAGGAACTAACTGATGGACCTACAAGTTGAGTGTACTACTAAATCCTCATGGTTTAAATATAAATGGTACAGGGGAAAGAGTATGGACTTAAGAACCAAATAGAATTTATTTTTTTGATTTTTTATTTTGAGAGTACACTTATTAAAGTTGGGGGCAGTCAGGGGTTGGGGGGAGGTAGAAGAGGGTATAGGGGGATAAATGGTGATGGAAGGAGACTTGACTTGGGGTGGTGAACACATAATATGATATACAGATGATGTATTATAGAATTATACACC